TATTCACATCACATTCTCCCACTGATTCACATATATATTTACTGGTTTAATAAACTGAATGTGTTGAAGGTTTTTTTTAGACTTACAGTAATTACTTTGATTAAATGTGCATAATCATGTTAAAACCAAATACTATTGGATCATTTTAGAATTATATATCCTTTTTGGGCCTAAAGGAATAAATAAATAAAATAAATAAATATAAAAACCTTCTTTCCGCTAAGTGCAATATTGATGAGACCTGAACTTAATCAGATCGTGAGTAGTCTTCTGGATCCTGGCAGTTGTGATTGTTTATTTTAATCATTCTATATGTACTTTTTTTGTATTTGGACTGGAACGTTTAAATAGCAATACTGTCACTAGTATCAAGATTAGTAAGGATGCATACTCTGATGTCAATTAACAATCGCGCACAACAGTTGCATGTTTCCACAGCTTTAGCTTGCGCCTCATGGAACATTGTGCAAACTGCATTCTGTCATTGAAAAGTGAATCAAATATATCCTTGTTGGAATTAAATGTTTTTCTGCACTTTTCAAACATTTTGGAGTTTTGTTCACACTATTTTATCAACTCTATTGGGAGTTCTGCACTTGCTTACCTTCTTTCCTTAAGGTGGTCTACCAACTATGAGGACATGTAATGCTGTCAGGTCACATGATGTTATGATAAATGTACAGAAAAGGTATTATTTACAAAATGACTGAAAACAATTTAAAAAATACTAAAATAAACAACAAACAATAGTAGGACATGGTAATAAAAAAATAAAATAAAAACTTGATTTGCTACCAGGTTCAGCTACTGTGTCAAATACATATGAAAAGTCTCATAACCAGACTGTGCTCCTTTAAGTTTATACAAATTTAGTCCAGCAATTTATGATAACTCGTTTTGATTGATATTTGAATTAATCAGGGTAAGTTGCCATTTAGGATTTATGTGGTATTGTATTTTACCACCTGTTATTTTCTATTAAGTACAGTTGAGTTTCTAAATGTCTATTATCACTGCCAGCACTAAGCGTTAAAAAACATGCAAAAATGCAGCTACTACTTATGTCCAAGATTTAATGACATGGAAATGTTTTATCTTGTGGCCAAAATGTTGAACATCCATTGGAAAGTTTATTAAAAGATTTTTGCACCTTTTCAAGGTTTTAGAGACCTGCTGTTTTTAGAATCAGAATAATCAGAATTGCTTTATTTCTCACTGAGCCTGGAGAAGCACTGCAGTAGAGTGAAATCGAGCTTTGGTACGGCCCATCTGTCTGTGGCTCTGCTTTAAACATGCAATTATTCTTGAAAACTCAGAAATAATCTCTTTAGGCTGTGATATTGACATTTCATGCTATCAAATCACAAAAGAATAGATCCCTAGAAAGTCTTTGTTATTAATTTTCTTTCTGGCCAAGTCTATTATATTTCATTATCGATTTTAATTGATATTTGATAAGTGTTCAAGAATAAATGTCAGTCTGAATTGCCTTTGTTAGCTATCTGTTAACCTTAGTGACTGTCAATTTGAGAGAGCATGCGGATGGCGAGCCTAGCAAGCTCCAGCAACATCGAGTGAGGAACTGCTCGAATGATCATTATGCTGGTTTAGAATAACATCCAGGACACACATGCACACTCCCAATTCCCAGCAGTGGTGAATGCTATTAAAGAAGGCTGAGTTGGTCGATAACTAAAGGCCACCTGCTGTTTCTGGGGCCTGGGACCCAGACACTCACTGAGAGTGTGATTCTTGGAACGAGGGAAAAATACAGACAGAGGTCAGAAGAAGAGTGGCAAGGGTACCCAGAACAGGCAGCTGAAAACACAGTTAATCGATAAAGCTCTTCACATGCTGTTTTAGCCCTGAAATGCTCTCCTTCAGCTTGGTGATGATGGATCCTAGTGGGTGTTTGTCCTCTGCTGAACACAGAAAGTTAGTCACTTAGACAGTGATTTTGAAGGTCTTTCGGAAAAGAGATAATTTGATGGAAATGGAATAAAATTATTTAGTTAAAAGACTTGATTATTCAGATAATTCAAAAAATTATTAAATTTAGGTATTATGTTTGGTCATTCACATAATTTAATGAGGTTTTGTTTTTGCAAAGATGTGCATTGACCACGTTGATAGTCGACATTAAGTTTATGATACTGAAGTATCATTTAAGTTTAATGCAATTAAATTAATTCTGTATCCTTCCTGCTTTCATTGTAACAGATTCTTTGTCGGGTTGTATAGAGCCACATTCCTTCACAATATTGATCTATTAAAAAAATTGATTCCCATTATACCATCTACATTTTGTTCATCTTTTATTATTTCCAACTTGCCTGTTGATATTTTCTTTGTTAGGTTTATTTTTCTTCCAGACTTATTGAGTTGTTTCTTTTTTTTTTACTGCAACCTATTTTCTTAGAGAATTTGTCAAGATAATGGGAATCCAGCTTAATTTGTTTTCTTGCCTGGTATTTTTTATATTCCTTTTCTTTATCCTCATTCTGTAGCTAACCCTTTCTGACGACCCATTTTCATTTGTACCGTGTGCGTTCCCCCACTGCTCTTTAACAGAGCGATCTGTCATTGCTGCTTCCTCGTTAATCCAGTGATTGGTGGTCCTCTAATGAGATTTTTTTCCCCTGTCTCACCCCTCTGTACTATTCACACACATAAGCATGTTATATTTCTTTTTTTCGTTGGTTAAATAGATGTTAAGGCATAAAAATTCACCTATATGATAGAGAAGTCTGTGATTACCGATCTTAAGGTTGGTGTTTCAGTGGCGAGTGCAGGTCAGTCCCACTGTTCCTATGAGCAGCTACCCAAGCTCCCTACTGTGTTCAAGTGATGTTTATGCCGTTTCATGTGTCAACCTCCTTCTTGTAGAAGATTTGAGGTGTTTATCTGCTCAGAAAAAAAACAAAAGAAAGGTAATAATAACATACAAATTGCTCTGGTGCCTTTTTTTGTAGTTTTTCATCTTAATTCTCATGACTGGGTGCGGACACTGTTAATACATTGTTTATTTATTTTCACATTTATTTTCTTAATGTTGTATGATAACTGTATGAAATTGTTATTATTATTATAGACAAGAATAAAGGAAAATTATGCCCTTACATGTTTCTTTATAGAAAATAAGACAATTCCAAACCCGGCACAAGCATTTATACCTCACCCTCTAACCAAAGATTAAGGTTATTTTATATACCAAACCAGAGATGGCCAGAACAATTTCTCCAAATCTGGTATCCTTGGTGTTATACAGATTTATGCTCCAAACAGTTTATGTATTCCATATTTTGTAAAGTTTTGCAAATGCCAGATAATGATTAATCTGTTTGATTCAGAAATGCTGATTCAGAACAACATCTAACAGATGCAGGCCACGTCATCAGTAAAACTGTGGTTCCCCATGTCTGTGTTATGCTAAAAAAAATTATCCATAATTTAATATGTAAATCAACTGT